TTCGCCCTCTCCTGCCCGTCCCCTTGCCGCTCGCCGCCCCGCCGGCGGCGCTCCCTGCGGCGGACGGGTCCGTCCCCCATCTGGCATTACCTACAGAATTTTTTTCTTCCTAGAAAACACGTGGGCGTTGTGTTTTGATGCTTGCGTAACGCAAACCTCCTCCCCGTGTCCGTGATTTTTCTTCTCCTAGCTCAGCCCTGCCGCCCCCTTCCTCTTCCCCCACACCCGCCGCCCTTCTCCTGTCTCCCCGCGGTCCGTATGGCACCGCAGGGGCTCCACGACGCCGCTTCTCGGGTGAAATTCTCCTCCGCCCAGCCACCCTCCTCAGAGCCAAACCCCCGAGGCTTGTCTCTCCTCCACGAGGTCACCACCACCCATGCGGCGTGAGCTCTGGCCTCCTGCCACCTCAGGTGGTTTTCGCTTTGGCTTTGCATCCTGTTGCAGGGGGCCAGGCTCCGACGGCGCAGCCGCTGCCTGCTCGCCGTCGAGCACGCTCTGCCTGCGCCCTCTGGTTCTCCCGGAGCTTTTCTCCTGTAGAGGTTATTTGCTGCCACTGAGGTCTTTATGACTCTTTTTCCTGTACTCCTCGTCTTTGTGTTACCCAAATCCTGTTCTGGGAACCTAGTGCACACCTCCAAGGCCGAACTCAAGAGGTTGCTGCTGCATTTGAGTGTTTGTAAACCCCTGTCCCTCAGCCTGCATTCCTCAGGGCAGAGATCATTCACAACCTACAATTTCAGTCCTCCGCAGGTTTACTAACATGTTTCAGTTTGCTCTCTCTGAGGAGCCTGGTGGGACTAAGCTCACGGTTATCAGGAGCTCACTTGTCTGGCTCCAGCCACCGTTCCCGCTGTGCAGAAACCTAAGCAGCCTTTGCAGGACCAGTGTTGCATAGCAGGGTACAGGAGCAGATTTATGGGGGAAGGAGCCTGGCGTTCCGGTCAGTGCTACACATGCTCACCGAGTGATGCAAGAGAGAAGAAGCCATGTTGCTCCGTGGTCTTGCCCCATCATCACTGCCACTGAACCCAGTGGGCTTCCTGTCATCAGTAGAAATATTACTGAGCTCGCCATCCCATCCTGTATTTTCATAGAATCATGGAATCATTTAGGTTGGAAAAGACCTTTAAGATCATCAAGTCCAACCGTTAACCTAACCCTGCCATCTCACCAATAAACGATGTCCCTAAGCACCTTGTCTACTCGTCTTTTAAATACCTCCAGGGATGGGGACTCAGCCACTTCCCTGGGCAGCCCTTTCCAATCTGAACCTCCCTTGGCACAACTTGAGGCCATTTCCCCTCGTCCTATTGCCCATTACCTGGGAGAAGACATTTTAATGTCTTTTAAACCATTTCTTATCTGGAATATCCTCAATAAACTATTCCCTTTGTTGTTGTTTCTGTAAGATTATGTTAATGATTAATTTAGCCTTCTTTATGGATTAACGTTAAGGCTCCCATGTTAGAGCTGAGACTTTGCCGAGGCAGTACTTTTCGTGTGTGTGTAAATCTTATTTGCTGTTATGATATCACTTCATTACACCAGAGCTGAGTGTTAATTTGTACAGAAGATTTTGATTGCTGTTAAAATTGAGACTTTTGTAATTAGTGAAAATGAATGATTGCTAAACCCGAAATTACCCCATCTGGTGGTGATAGAAGGCCTCAGGGAGGCGACAGTTCAAAAGCTGCTGCTGAAGAGCAACCTGTGCCTCCCAGCAGGTAAACATCACAGCCAAAAATTAGAGGATGCTCAAACAGCTCTAAAGGATGGTGGGGGAACCTGCAGAAATTTGGTCCAGCATCTCTGTAAAATTGGAACAGCAAAACAGTTTGCTCAGAAAAGAATGGGGAAAAAAACCCCAAACCTGTATTACGGGGTCTGAACTAGCAAATCCAGTATCTAATTCGGAAGGAAAGGAACAAAACATATTAGGGGAGAGGGGAGATCTGGGGAGGGATTTGGGGAGGTCAGAGTTTGTTCTGAACTAGAAAGGAAGCTTATAAATTTATTATAAGATGAAACTGGCAATGTACCTGCAGCAAAAGGGAATAGGCCCCCAGAAATGCGCAGTGCTTTCCAAAAGCAATCTGTGGAACTTGTCTCTGGAATGCAGCTGTGTAAGATTTCACTAACATCTTGCAGGTGGAGCCTAATTTTAGTTCAGCCTCGAGAAGGGGGAATTGTTTTCTCTGATATGCACAGCACCATAACAGCAGCAAAGCAGGTGGAGCTTTAGACAAGTACTTGTTTACTTTCCTGTAAAAAAAAAAAAAAAAAAAAAAAAAGTGAATCACTGTGGGGTATTGAAAGTAAAAGCAATAAATAATTCAGCTTCAGATTTCTCACAGTCTGCCATCAATATATAAGAAAGATTTCAGAATTACTAGGCCAATTGATGATTACAAACATGCAAAATGTTTTAATAGGCTGAAATACTGAAGAGAAAATGAGTCACAGAAAGATTATTCCAAGATAGAAGCTGTACAAAGGGCCGTCCCAGCTGTCAGCCAAGGATTAACTGGGCTGGAGGTATGATCTCATATTCCCTCATGTGAGATTTCGAAGACAAATTATGCTGAAAACCACATCACTGAGTTGTATCAGGAATCAACTGAAGCAGTTCAAGAACTGCAGTTCAAGGGACTTTATAAGATTTGGTTACATTTCCTGGATCAAACAGCAGACCTTCAAAAAACAAACTTTGCATCAGAGAAAAAGTATTTTAGAATGCTAAAACAGTATTGGCTTGCTTTCTCCAGTCCCTTTTGTGTAATTGCGTAGTGGGAAACACAAACCTAAACCTGGATTTAGTTGTAGCTGAAGAACTTATGTTGAGAAATTAAATGGATCCAAAACCTGTAGCACTGAAATAGAGCCCGAGCTCGGTAAACATCTTCTCAGTTCTGAGAAAGGGTGAAAGTTAGGTTCTCAAAACCACCAGAGAATATACACTGCTAAAGCAAAGTTCATTAGCTGCACAGCAGCAGCACAGGAGTGGAAAAAGACCATTAAAATGGTTACTTGGGAAAATTGTCTCCTAAATTATGTGGGAGTTTAAAGGCAGAAGAATGACAACATTTGCTGTCAAAATGCCAGTGGAAAAGCTCTCCTGAAAGACACGGCCAGTGCTGCATAAGTAATAACAGGGTATGTCGAGAAGAAGTGTTAAGTTAGTATCGTATTCAGGAAACGAATCACAGGCAATAAATGTAAGTGATCGGGCTGAAGTGAAATAATATGTGTCCTGATTGCCAGTGACCGCAAAGAACACATATTCGATGTATTTTCAGGCAGTGAAGGAAATCTGTCTGATACTCAAAATCTCATTAAGGAACGTTTGTTCAAAAGAATGCCATATTCAGCCCTCAAGAAAGCAGAAGCATATAGCACATCAGCAGGGCACCACAGGGAATAATAATGTTATCATTTGCAATGTAGATGCTCCAGGACATAAGGGGAAAACTGTGAAGTTATTTGGAAAAATATGTGTATATGTTAGTAACTTAATGGAGGAAAGTAGCAGCATTATGGGGCACAGGAGCAAAAGTGTTGTGAGAGACATGAGTGGAAAAGAAGCCATCTCTGAAAGTCTAGACCTAAGTCTCACAGAAGAATTCTGAACTTTTTTAAGAGATACTAAATATATAAACATTGACTGGGAGCCCAGGAAGATTGAACTTAAGTGCAGTGCTGTTTTTATCTGGTATATTACAGTGTTGTACCACTTGCCGGTGAGTTGTATGGAGTTAACCCTAATAGACTTCGGTGTCAAGGAAGAGAGAGCGCTCCTCAGCAGTGTCCTTTTCTCGCCATGCCTGTTACTCTTAAACTCAGCAACCCAAAATACCTGGGCTTCTGGCCACATCACAAGCTTTCATGAGCTGTGGGACACCTCTCGCTTTTTATAACACCCCACAGAGGCCAAGTAGAGAGTAGTCGAAGAAGTGCTACGTGAAGAATCCCCTGCCTTCACTGAACATGGTTCAAACAGGCTTTGCCAAATACTTGGGAGTTCATGTTACTCAGACTGGTAAAGGCTTGCCTAGAAAGGCTTTAGTGTTAGTCTTAGTTAAGAATTAAGATCTTGCTAGAGAATAGGCACACTGGCTGTGTGTGAAAAAGATGGTAGCTCAAATTTACACACAGATGTCAAAGGCTCAAACAAAGAGATTATTCCTGTAGACATCCTATACATAGAAATCAAGAGAACATGATCATTTAATCCATGATCACAGAAATGTTTTGAACCCTGATAAGACAATTAGTTCCAAGTCAGAAACACCGTTGAGATATGACCCAAAATCAGCATAAATACCACCCAAGGATGGCACATTTAGCCCAGGATAAATCTGGCC